GTTTTCCAGGAGAGGAAACCAGAGTTCAGCCAGACCCTGAAGAGCCTGGGAGAAGCAGGAGGCTGTGTCAGTGCTTACAGGCAGCAGCGCTGGAGATGAGCTCCTGGGGCCCAAGTGAGTCCTGGGCTTGCTCTGCACTGAGCGTCCTTGAGGCACTGTGGCTTTGTGCTGATCTCAGGACCTGCTGCTAGTGGCCCACTGTTAGCACTGTTGGAAAGATTCAAGCAGGCCTGTTGAGTGTAGCCACTGCTTCTTTAGGGGGTAAAACAGATCCCAGAAGAGCCCTGCTTTTTCCAGACCCTTTACTGCAAATATACACCATCCTCCTGCTACCTTGCTGTGCCCTGACTGGCTGCACCTGAAAACTCTCAGGAAAAGCCAGAAATGGGAGCTGATGTTCAAGGTACTAAATAGAGGTACAGGATTTCATCAGCAATCCAGCTGCTCACCTCAGGCTCTAGCCTGGGCAATCACAGTCTTGAATGCGGCATTGCCAGCCTCAGCAATGCTCCCTGCCACAAGCTGCCTTGCAGCATGGCTGCTGGGCACAAACCCCACAGTCCTGTGAAGCAGGTCAGTGTCTGTAAGGCAGGAACAGCATCCGGGGCATGGGAACTCCTGAGCCATCTCTGGGTGCATGCTAGGGAGCCAGAGCGGGGCTTGCAGAGCTGAGAGGGGAGCAGATGCAAAAAGGGTGGTGTGAAGCTCAGCAACACCCACCACAAGCAGCCCTGGGGTGCCTGTGGCTCAAAAGCCAGTCATGCAAACCAAACACAGAAGGGTCTTGATTTGCCTGAAAGAGGCAACAAATTTGGCTGGTGGCTGAGTGGGAGCCAGGGTGTCTCCATTTGCTGAGGGACTGCGCTGAGGTGGGGACTCTGCACCCGCAGCAGTTCAGCACTGACTGGCACAGTCATGCAACTCGGCGACAGCTCCGGTGAGCTGAAAGGGCTGAGACTTGGTCCTGTCCTCACTACGGTACAGTGACTTCCGCTAAAGAGCGGCGACAGAGGGGGCTTGGCTGGGCTGTGCTGGAACACTGCAGGGAGCGAAGAGGACATTTCTGTGTGGAAGTTCTGCCACCTCCAATTCCCACCCTGAGCAACTTTGTTCAGCTTTCCTCTGCCACTGTGGAACATGAGGCACAGGCAGCAGGTCTGTCCGTAGAGGAGGTTGTGCTGTCAAGTTTCTGCATCCTCCCTCGCCCGAGATGTGTTCTCCTCCCACAGGGTTTGGTGCCTGTGGCACCAGAGGGAGGGTTTCCTGCAGCTCAGCAGTTCCCTGCTACCACAGTGCAGGAGTTTCCTGCAGAACCAGACGGTGCCCAACAGCAGCTGGTGGCAGGCACTCAGATCTGCTCTGCAGCCAGAGCAACTCAGGGGCTCAGAGAAGTCACAGGACCCCATGCTTGGAGATACTCTGGACTCAATGAAACAAGGTCCTGAGAAACCCGATCCAAACTGGATCTCCTCCAGGCAGGATTACAGCCCACCAGATTGCCTCTCCCAACTGCAATTCTTCTTTGTTTCTGTGATTTCTTCTTTGTAACTGCAAACCTCACTTTTACAAAAATGACCCAGAGTGAATGTGCCTGGGAGCCCTGGCTCCATTCCTGAGCACCTGTGCAGTGAGAGTTCAGTTTCAGTTACCCCCTCTAGAACTTCAGAGCCTCCGGATGGGTCAATTCTGCCTTCCATGACCAGCTGAAGGAAGCGCTGCTCCTACCCACACATTTGCTGCGTGCAGGAGGTTCCAGTGGAGAGGGCATGAAACAAAGGCCCTTGCCTCCCTGATCTGATTGTAGCATGCCATGAAGTAACACATTTGTAGGGCTTCAGCTTGATTGTATTAAGTCTGCACATACTAATTTAGATGGTAATGACACAGTAAGGAGGGAGCGAGACCCTGGCCAGATGCGGGGAAAGTAAGCCCTCTGCCTAGCCCAGGTGAAGTCCTTTCAGGTTGCAAGTCAAAAGTTAACAGGGTTGCATCAACACCTTCCTTGACACCACCTGCTAGCCAAATGAACTTGAGATGAAGCTTTCTTGGCAAGATCTGTTACCCATAGAACCCTGCTGAGTGCCACAACACTACGCTGCCGCCCCCCAGCCTGCGACTGCTGCTGGGCAAGGCTGTGCTGAGCTGGGCAGTTTGTTCAGGGCCAGTTTCTGGTGTGGGGCTTGTCTTTGTTCCAGTCCTCTGGAACTTCTCAAGAAAGAAAGAAAAACCTACCAACCCAAAGGGATCTTCAGCCAATTCTTAACATTCTTGGGTGGGAGCTGTCTGGTGTCAAAAATTCTGCATTTTAGCATTTTCTCCTAGATTATTCATAGAGCAGAGCTTCACTCTTACTGGTCTGTGAGAATCAATACCAGCTTCTTTCCAAGCAGAACATTTTGATGCTTTGTTTCACCTTCAACAATAGCCTGTAAGTTTTCTCATTTCCAGCTATGCACAAGTGCAAACCATTTTGAAGATTTATATTGTTCATTATCTAGCTGGAAATTGCAGTTCCTCTTCAAACCCTTCAGTACATCTTGTCCTGGAAAGGCAGTGATGGGTCTGCTGGCCATTCTCATGGGGTAATGTCCTGCTGTGACCCGGTTCTGACGCTGGCACTTCACTCTGCTGAGCTTCAGCAGAACCACGCACCGGACACCTTTTTTTTCAGTGCTAGTCACTTCTGGAGCTGAATCCCCCCGAGGCCTTTGCAGGAGAGCAGGGCTGGTCAGGGAAGGGAAAGCGGAGCTACTGACAGATCCAGGTTTGGTACCGGCACCTGGAAACTCCCCCTCCACGTGCCCATCTCCCTGCAGGTGTCAGAGGTGCACAGGGCAAGACAGATCCAGGTACGAAATCAGTGAGTGCTTCCTTGTGAATACTGCACTCTCCCAAATGGGGCCTTTTACCCTTTTGGTTCCTCACATACTTCTCGCTGGCTAAAGAGTGACAGAGAAGTTAATCCTGAGGGAGATGTGTCAGGAGAGGCTATTTAAAATCTAGAATAACAGGTGAGGTGTTTACTGGGGGACCAGGCAGTGGGGAGAGCATTCAGAGCCATAGAAGGCTGCGGGGGCAGGACGCTGCAGTTTGCCTTGAAATCAGCAGAAGGTTTTGGAGAGGTATTTTGTAGCTACACCATCGACAGACGAATGAATACTGGGCTCCATTCATCCCACATTTCCATGGTGGACAAAGGAGCTGTTATTTTTTTGCAGCTGCGGGCTCTATTATAACAGTATTGTCACAGTCTTTTCCTCATCTCTGCTGCCATACTCTTCTCAAGCAGATCTTGCAACAAATTCACCCCCAGTTAGCAAGTCCTCCAGGCCTGACACGTTTTTGTGCCGTGGATCTCAACAGATGGAGCAGTTGTGTTTCACTACCGCACTGCTAGTGGGCAGGGCAGAGGCACAGCTGAAGGTGGCTGCCTGGTCTAACATGGGGTTTGTACATCCCCTCCATACAGTAGTTAGACAAATGCCTTGAAGGTAGAGAACAGAAGCTAAATTCCCACTGGCTCAGGAAATATTTTATTCTTTATATTTTCATTAAAAAATAAACATAGGAAACAAAACCACAGAACACTTGTGTGATAGAAACAAACGCAGAAGGTCAGAGCGTTGGCTGAAAGTGCATAATTAAGTCATGCTACCACATCCCTGATCCCACCCTGTCCCCCAAGCAAGGAGTCAGCAGCAAGCTCAACGAGCAGCACTACACAGAGCCCAGGCACTGCGGGGGCCAAGCTGACAGCGGAGGAGAGCCTGTGCTCCCAGAAACACAGCAAGGCAGGAGACATGCTGAGGAGAGAGTGCTCTAGTGAGCCAGTGATGAAGCTCTCACTTGGGGTTCGTGAGGCAGGCGAAGGATAGCTAGTGTAAGAGGATGTGGAGTTACGAGGCAGGGGAATAAACAGCTGAGAACAAAGGGCGAAACGGAATCCTGGATGTCACTCCAAAACAGCCCTGGAAGCAGAAAAGTCTTAGATAAAAGGAAAAAATCAACACAACGAACTTGACTGAAAGGCTGACGTGGGCGCGCTGGACAGAGGTCTGTCCAGGGACAAACCCCAGTCACTCACCAGCAAGATCTATGTGGATAGTAGCAATTGTGTCCCTGCTTTCAGGGCCTCAGCCTCTGCAAGGTGACCTCCCCACAGGGGTGGGAGCAAAGGCACTGCCACATCACAGCAAGGCTCCTGTTGCCAGAAAATGCAGCGCTTTGCAGCTGGGTCTGTCAAGCTTTTTGAGGGAAATACGATGTGATGAACCTTGCCAAGCCCCCTGATCAGAGCACAAATGCTGCAGACCTGCTTCTACACCAGGCAATGAACCTTTCCCCCTACCCTCTGTCCCCTGCAGCCTCAGGCTTTTGGGTCTCAGTAGTTGACAGCTTTAATCTGCGACTCCTTTTGTGTGCAGACCTGTGAGGAACCTGCAGACGCAGCTACAGTGCAGGACTCCCTTACACACACTCACTCAAATTGGCTCTGCACTGATGTGCGCTTGAGGAGCATGTTTAAACATTCAGTATGTACAAGATGATTTGAAGCTGGAACATAAGAGCAGCTGGATTCACTCTCACACATCCACGTGGCTGAGAGCAACCAGAGGACCTGTGTGGTCCTGCAGTGGCTGAAGAGACCACCCAGTTGTATGTACATGTCCTTGGAAACATTCACCAGGCTGGCTGACGCCAAGGCTGGGGGCATCTCTGCTCTGCCGACAGACTTAGCCAGAGGAACAGCAGAGAATGCAGATTCTCCTGATCTACTTCACCACCCTTCTCCAGCTTCACACAGAGCCCCCAATTTCAAATGACTGCTGAGATAACACATTTATGCACATGCTCTAGTCAAACGCAGCACAGAAAGCTGCTGTTCTGGTGCCTATTTCCACAGCATCCACAACTCTCAAGAACAGTCACTGCAAATCACTTGGGACTCTTCCTCCAGCCGAGACTTTTTAGGATGTTCTTCTTTGTAAGTTCCCTCCAGATCACTTCTCCCGAAGGACGCAGACTCCAGCGTCACAGCGCTGCATCCCCAGGGAGGTTACCACTTCCCAGTTGTCAATGATGGGATCATAGCACTCAATGCTGCTCAGCAGTGAGTTGCCATCATATCTGCAAGGAAAGTTACAGGTGAGGGATGCTGCTGAAGGAAGAGGTTGAGGCATTCAGAGCCCTTCCTGGGAGGGCTGGACAGCTGCATACAGCAGTAATGGCCGGAGACAAAACCACTGCATTATGCTCCCTTTTGCTGTCTGCTGCTGCTGCTCTCCTGCCTGTCTTGGCCCCAGACCATCACACTGCCTATATCGGCTGGGCACGGTGACTCTGTGGGCTGTCTCCTCTCATACAGCTTGAAATGTAAATGCAAGGAGAGGCCACCTGAAACAGAGCAGCAGGCTGCATCACCTAAACTCACTTGTTCCAGCAAACAGACACGCAGGGCATCTCCCTCTCCAGCCCAGGGCAGCCACTTACCCAGCGATTGCATACAGCCTTCCCCGCAGCACGGTGGCCCCCACATAGCAGCGGGGGGTTGTCATGCTTGTTACAGTTGTCCAGGAATCAGTGCGAATATTATAGGCTTCCACAGAGGAGAGATGTGCCGTCCCGTCGAACCCCCCGACTACATAAATGTGGTCATTCAGCAAAGCCACTCCAGCCCCTGGAGAGAGAGAAGGCAGCACAGTTACACCCATGAGCGACACTGACAGCACCGTGCCCGGGGCTCGCTGTTACAAGGCTGAACTAGGTCAGTTCCTCCCTCTTCAGAGGACATTTTCTTATGCTTATATCTCCCACAAAAGAGCTGTCACAACCCAGTGTCTTCTGTTATTGCTGTCTCCAATACAATATGTGAAAACCTGTAACTCTACCAAATTCTGCTGAATCTCTGGCACAAGGGGGACTGAGCAACACTGCAGCCGGGGCAGCAGCAGCAACATGACATGTTCACCTTGGCTGAAAGACACCCCGACCCCCTGAACAGACCAGCACAAGCTCGCTCTGCTGGCAGGTAGCCAGCTGGGACTCTGTCACCACAGACAGGTTTCTTTGGTGTCCCTGGCTCCCTGGTGTCCCAGCCCCTGGCTGTTACAAGGAGAATGATGCTGCTCCATGTGAAGCTGGAGGAGGGATTTCTTTGACATTGCTCTTCTGGGAGGCAGGGAGATGAAAACTGGTGTCCACTGCACAGTCACAGAGATGTAAATGGCTGAAGCGTCTGTCTGAACAGCTGTTCTCACCTGCCCCAGTAAAAGCAGTCAATAATACAGTTGGCCCAACTGGGAATTTATGACAACAGCAGAAAATAAACCTCTGCCAGCCTCTGTTCCTCATCTGCAGCCCCCTTCAGGTAAAGCACCAAAGAATGCAGTACGATAACAACACGCTTAGTGGCCTTAGGTGTTCTTGCCAACAGCCACTGCTGTTTCAAGCTGCATCTTGAGAGCAGAGTAAACCCTGTCAGGCTGTTACCATCAACATGTTGCACTGATGAATATCCCGAAGGAAACAAGCCAAAGAAGCCAGCTACCCTGCAGCTCTTGGGCACTGATCTGTTTCTTCTACAAACAGGGTATAAGAGACTTTCTGTTCCACTAAATGCAACCTCACTTTCACTGTCTGTCCTTGCTGAGAGCACCAAAACAGCTGGGAATGGCCAGGCTGCCCCAATGGCCTCTCTGATAGCTTCAGTGAGGAAGACTTCGGCTGAGAAGAGAGGCCAGACCGAGGCCTAATCAGGGAGGCTGGGTCTAGCAATGCGATATGGCCATGGTTTCTGAGGGGTGTCCTGCCTCCAGAATCTGTCCTGAGATGAAGAGAAACAAGGAGGAGACACTCTCTGCGAATAAAGGCAAGATTACTTTTAGTCCTGGTCTTTCTTGGAATTCAAAGACCCGCAAGCAGACAGCTCTAGAAAGAGCGTCAAAGCCTTGGGGCAAAAGAAGTCCTACAGGGTCCAAGGTCACCAGGATGGATGGACTGGAACTGACACCAGGATGGAGATTGCAAGTGCAACTGGTATCTAAGCTACTAGCAGTTCAGGGTGTTAGTACCACAGAACAGCAGCACAAAAACCTGGGCCAAAAAATATTCTTGGGCTCACCCCCATTGCAGACCTCAGTGGTCCAGGTCACGGCACTGAGGAAGGAACTTGGCTGAGTCAGTGCTGGGGTCAAGAGCCTCACAACATTCCTGCTCGCTTGTGACACTGAGGAGCCTGCTCTGTGGGCCGAGGCACAGCTACCAAAAGCCTGAGTCTTGTGGGAAGCTAGCATGGACCTGGGAAACACTTCTTCTAAGAGGCTTTCCTTTGAAGTCTTTGGTTTTGGTCTTGCCAGAAGCCATCTTCTCTGGTGCACACAACAGACCCCCTGGGGTGAGCCATCTCATCCTTAAGCTTTCTAGAGATCTGTGGATAGGTCTCGCATGTTGCCTCTGACGTAGGAAACCCCACAGATTTTATCACGTGTTTGTATGTGGGGTCTTCCCAGATGTGGAAAGTGACCAACTTCTAAATCAAATCCATTCTTGGCCTATGGGAAATACTTTCCAACCCACACTTAACAGGAATAGCCCTGTCACAGGAATAAATATTTAAAGCTCGGTGTTTTGGTGAATTCCACTGCAGGCACAAGAAAGCTTAAATGTTTTTAGAAGAGAGACCAGTTTTAATTGAGCAACCAGCACTTGTCCCTAAACAAGAACACTGCAGCAGAGAACAAACAGAAACAATGCTACCTAGGCTAACTGTAAAGGACATTTATTGAAAGAACTAGAGAAAAAGCAACTTCAAAAGGGTTTTGAAAGAGGGCCTGTAAGCACAGCAGAACTACTCCATTGAGAACTGCAAAGCTGTGGAGGCACTGAGCATCCTGCCCATCCACACACGGCTGAGTGAGGCCACGGCTGCTTGTGAGCATGGCCATGAAGGTCTGGGGCCGGTGGCCTGAGGCGCAGTGCAATAGCAGAGGGCCAACACTTGAGCACAGAGGAGCTGCATGAGCCTCACAGGAACTCCTCTGAGAAATGAAGGAAAGCTGAGACAGAAAGTTACTCCAAAAGTAGGATTTAAACTGTATTTTCCTCCTAGATACAGCTGTCAAAAGTTCAGATAGGGCGCCAAGCAGGAAAGACAAACTAAGAATTGGTGGGGGATAATCGATGTGTGACTGCACCACATTTCAAGTCATTAGCGTAAGACTGTTGCAGCATGACACTGCTCTGGCAGTGCTGCTCTGTGCGTTACTGCTGCCCCAGGAGCTGAGGCCCAGCATTTCACAAAGCGCAGTGCTGCAGGTGAAGGAGGGCCTGCCAGAGCACTCCTGCCTTCACTGTGTCCTGTGAAGCTGACGAGCACTGACTTAGCAAACTGTCCCATTATCTTGCACTACGGTCTGTAGTTTGTTCATTGCTAGCTTTTCACCAAGCCATGCACTGTTCCTAGTTATGGAAGCCACACAAGACTTCCCCTCCCTCCCTGTAACCTATAACCCCCACCCCTGGCCATTCCTCTATACACACCTTAGCATGGGATGGAGACATCAGGCATGTGAAAATTAATCTTTCTCTTGGGGAATTAGGTCAGCGTGTCCTAAAATCATCCCTTCTCAAAGCCAAACCACCCACTGGGGCCAGTCAACATCTGCCAGGGCAGCAGGACAAGCCAGCAGTGACTGCTTACTCAGCGCAGCACAAAACATTTTGACCTCAAGGCGCTGTGGGCTCTTACCTGAGCGCTTAGTGGCCATCGGGGTGACATTTGTCCAGTGTCCAGTGTGGGGATCATACCTCTCTACAGAATTCAGTATGTTCAGCCCATCATAGCCACCTGAAACAAAATACAGGGGCAAACCATAGACTTCTGGAAAATGTTTTCTGTGTAGAGAGCAGTAACATGCTTGGTTCATCCTTAGTACAGTGTTGCACTGCAATCAGCACAACCCACAGCACACCAGGCTGGCAGAACAAAGAGGATCTCTGCAGCTTGCAATGCCAGACTGGGGCCAGCTCAGAGCAAGCTCTGCCCCTGCACTGCACAGGGCCGTGCTGGGAGACAGCAGCACCTCTCCAAACCAGTACAACCAGGTTAGCACCACACTGCCCAAAGCTGCCTCTGAGCATGCTGATGCCAATGTTGACGCCATCCTGCTAAAGCAGATGTACAGCTTCCAGACCTGGTGCTGGCTCAGGGTCTGCGTGCTGCAGCCGGCAGCTGACACTATGAGGCTACATGGTGGAGGCTGGGATGTCTCAAAGAGCTGCTTATCACAAGAGGATACCAAGAAATCTCATTGTGCAGCTTCAGCAAAGGAGCGGCGTGCTGGCATCTGCCTTGGGGGATCAGCGTGAGGAAGAGGGATTTGGGAGAGGGAAGTGAAACCCATAAACCAGTGTCCAATATCTGTGAATCCCCAGGAACAGGAATGCAACCAATGTGGGTACAGTGCTGGGCCTGCCTTTTCTGCGGCCCAGAAGGTGTATCTACAGAACAAGCCTACTAAAGTCTTCAGAGTGATTTGCCCTCTAGCACTCTCACCGTATTCACAGCTGCCATGGGTCTCTGAAAATGAAACGAGTACTACAGAAAGGAGCTGGAACACATACAGCTCAGGATGCATTTCTGGAGCACTACAGCCAACATTGCTTTGTGTGGAGCAGATGTACCCTCTGTCCTGTGGCTATCTGCTTCATCTCTAGGGCATCTTAGCCACTGCCTAGCCCTGCAAACCTCAGCTGGCACTGCTCATCCCCCACACTTCAGCCGTCCCTCAAATGTAGGCTGATTGTGTCCCATTTGCTTCTGACAGCATTAACTGTCATTATATGGCAGCTCCAGTCTAAGCCATTGCGATGGTAGTGGAGAGAACGGGCTATGTTTGCTGACAGAGCTGTGCAGTTCTCAGTGCAGTGAAGTTAAATCTTCTCTTCTAACCTGGACATGACATAATTGGTGCTCCCACAGACAGCATCTGCACTGTCATTTCTGTAAAAAGCAAGTATTTGCAGAATGCCTACAGGTCCTCAGGGTACCTACCGAGGCAGTAGATAACTCCATTAGCTACAACAAGCCCTGCTCCTTCCCGTGCTGTCTGCATGTCTCCCAGCATACTCCACTGATCGATGTTCGGGTCGTATCGTTCCATACTGGTGTGACGTCGGCTTCCATCAAACCCGCCGGAAACATAGATCATATCTGCAACGTCAGACAGAGGCTGGACTCAGCAAGTCAAGTATCAAGCATGCACATGGAGCAAGAAGGCCCTCGCCGATGGAGCAAGCCTACAGCATGGACTGCAAAATACAGGAACAACTACAGACCTTGACACATTTGAAGCTAAGACAAACCCGGCCTCCTCACCCTAGCTCACTGCATCAGCCTGCTCACAGACCCAACAAACTAAACAAACATAAAACCCATCTGGCCTTTAAATCTGCTTCTTGCCGATGGATGAAAGAGAACATGCACACTCCAGTTATTTTTTTCATGCCGCAGAACCTACTGAAAAACTGCCATGCCCAAACCCTGCCTGTCACTAGCATCCTGCCAGCACCTCCCCAAAGTAAATGCTTACAAGGTAGTAAACACACAGGTAGCAAAAGGAAAAAAGATCCAAAAGACGTATCTGGATCATCAAGGTCAGTCCCTTATACTGGATAACCCAATTCATGCAACACTTCCATAAATCTGTCATCTTCAAAGCAGCTGCATTTTTAAGAGAATTTTCATTAGAATAGATTCTTAACAATCTAAATAAATAATATTTAATCAATAATAATTATTATGAGATATTCTAATATAAGCATTAAAGCACAGAATATTCATTAGAGTAACTGCTATTTTAATGGCTAAAAAACTTCCTCTCATTTCCACACCAACGTTTCCCTGGCCTGTTTATAACCATTTGTTCTTATTCAATTCTTATAGTGCCCATTTCCTTCTTATGCCAAGTTATACTCATAGAGAGCAATTCATATCCCCTCTTGGCCTTTGCTTTGCCAGCATAAGCAAGCTGAAGTGTTCTGGTTTGCTCAGTAAAGTAGTTTTCTTCTTCCAAGTCTGTCGTAAGGATCCTCCTCTGCACATGCTCTGGTTTCAGCCTCTCTCCAGTGCTGGATGGTTATTGCTGTACTTGCTGTCCTGTACTCAGTAATATGCGACACCGTCACCACCCCGAGAGCTTCCCACTCCATAATCCCTCACAGAGTTCCTCTCCCTCGATGCACAGACACATGCCATAAGAATGAAGCGGAGGCAGAGCTCCTCTCAGGATATGTGGGCAAGTTTTCCATTTCTACATCCAAATGATGAGAAGCCACAATTTCAGACTCACCAACTCCCTCGGAGCCATCCCACTCTGCACATACCAGCTCAGGGCATTTCAGGACGAGAACTGAACAGGCTGTACTGCCCTGTCAGTACAGTGACCAGGACATACCTCCAAGGGTCGTGGCTCCTGCCAGGCCTCGCCGAACGTTCATCGGAGCCACGGAGTACCAGATACCATCCTCATCCGATGTATAATCCAAGCACTCCACTGAACTGAGACGAGAGCGACCATCATACCCCCCAATCACATAGATCCGATCATGCAGGGACACTGTAGCAACATAGCGTCTCTTACGGGTGATGCTCTAAAACAGTAAAAGAATAAAAAGGTCAAGGAGAGGAAATAACACTGATGCATGGAGACCAACCACTGTTCTTCCATCCTCTTTTGCTGCTCTTTTGGAAAATGGCCCACTACCACAGAGGCAAACAGCACTGTGGGTTTAAAGGATACAGCCCTGGCTAAAATGCTCTAATGACTGTGTCTGCCTTCCTCTGCCTGTACTCTGTCTCTGCCATGCTCTCTTCTCATGGCCAGGCCTCTTTGCAGTAAAATATTTTGCATTAAATGTCATTTATCTTATGCTGCTACTGAATCTCTGATGCATCTCGGGGGTTTGTGTGCCTCCCACTGGCTCCCTGCAGAGACTGTTAATGGGAAAATGTGGAGACTTGGAATATTTGATGAAAATACCTGAAGCTTTTAGCCTCCAAAAAAGAACAGAATTTTGGGACACCACGTGATACAGGGTCTTCTGTGATTAGCGATATTAAAGAGGAGGCAGATCTCCACCATTTCACACAAATAAAGGTGATTTTAAATTTGGGTAGAAATAGTCCTCAGTGCAGGAATTCTCTCTTCTTTACTATCTCCTGTTGTGCTCAGAAACAATGAAACCAGAGAGATCATGCAGCCTGCCTGAAAGCAGGACTGACTATACTATTCCTATTGACATTTCAATTATCATCACTAACCTTAAAGTTTAACACCCCTTCAATGAGAAACATGATAGCTCTCACTCCCACAACAAAGATGTGGGTCTCTGTAGGCTCATCTGATTAGAAATATGACAACCACCTCTTATACAAAGCTTACTTAGCAAATCTGCAAATGTGAAGCAGTTTCAGCATTTGCTATGTAAACCTCAGCAACTCTAAAGAATTTATGGCAGAAATTCTAAGCAGAATGCAAAGGATAGCCTGAAAAGGAATGTTATATAGCTGACGCTACAGGATCAGTGTTTGATCACAGCCTGTTCAACCCAGTGGTGGTCAAAAACGATCCCTTACTGGCAAGAAACTCCACTCCTGAGTCTTCGGGTCGTATTTCTCCACAACATCAATAGGCGACTGCTGACTGCCAAAGCCGCCAATCACAAGCAGGACTTCATTAGCTCCTAGAGCAAAGAGGGAGAGCAAAGTCAAGTTAATCCCTTCACAACCAAAGGGTCAGCTCAAGGCAATCACCAGAAGAATCTCTGAGCCCTCCTTGGTGCTTCCTTAGTCACCTCTAAATCCCTGTTTTCATCAGTACTCTGACGCTGGCACCTAACCTGGGTACAGTCACCTGGACTCCCTCTATCCCCAGTGGGGAGGAAGAAAGACAAACTCTTCCAGGGTGCGTGGCAGTAAGACTAACTCAGGTGTAGGAGCTGTCTGCTGGAGGGCTGTTCCTCCTCATGTCAGAGGGACTCTGAGAAGACAAGCTGGCTAAGTTAGGTGCTGAAGTTGCTCGATAATATCTTCTTTTGTATTCTTTCCATGATTTTTTTTTCAAACCCTATGAAAGCTGAAGGAGGATGGCTGTTTCCCTGGAGCCTCCTCACAAAACAGGGCCTTCTCCCCTTGTCTGCAAATGACATCCAGACGGCACCTTTGTTCACCATTTCACTGAGAAACAAGTCAGGCTGACTGAAGCCTGAAAAATTAATGAAATATTTTCAGAGGAATTGCCTCTTAAGTCTTATGTATTTTATTTCAAAGTTGCGTTCCCTCTACTTTCTTTTGACTGAGATTGTCCATGAATTTTTCTTATTTTCTCCCTGAGAGTTAAATAAGACTCGTGTCCTGGAGAGTTTTAAATTCCCTTGTAATGATTGTGTTAGTGGTAGGTTTTTATCATAGTTTTAAAAATCGATGAGCATCCCCAGAATCCCTTGGGCCCTTTCTGCAACAGGGAGTTTTACTAGAGTTTAGAACTCTCCAGCTTTTCATTGCAGAAGGACTGAACACTGAGCAACAAAGATTTAACAAGACCTTGTCTATCACAAAGTGAAACAGCTGCCACCTCAGATGAAGGAGAATAATACAAAATATAACTGGGAAGGATTCACAAAAAAGCTCCAACAACAACTTTGAAAGCCTGCTGTACAGTGTGACAGCTAAAAGTGCAATCATTTCAGTTTATCCCATAGAAAGTTAATACACAACTTGATCACAGTTTATAGTGACACATGATAAGAGCATTGCTGATAGCAGATGATATCAAATCAGCTAAAAAAGGTGGGGCTGAATCCAGAAGATGAACCTCAGCAGTAAGGTGCAGTTTTTCCCTGTATAATTAAACAATGAAACCGTTTTGTGATGTCTCCTTTATTGGGTGAAGCATTTCAACTAAGAACAAAATGAAATCTGTCTTTCTAAAATGACAGGTTGAGCTGAACTGCATGTCATTGAACTGATGTAGGATGTTCCAAGAAAAACAGGAGACATGCTGTGGCCTCGACTATGCTGGAGGTCAAACCACATCATAACAACATTCCCTTCAGGCCAAAAAATCTAATCAATGTGTGTCTCTGACAAACCTAATTTGCCCTCCTCCTTTACTGCATAAACTGCATTCAGTCCCTTAAAACAGTGTTAATAACAGGAAATGGCCATGAAGGGTTTTTCAGGGTCCCTCTCCGCTACACAAGCAGCAGCACTGGAGAACATGCAGCGAGGTTTGCTTGCAGGAAGAGCAGTCAGTGCTGGCACCGATGGCAGTGCCCTGTGAGTGTGCCTGGGGTTAAAGGCATGGCAGAGACAGTCCAGAGAGTGAGTCTGAAGATAAGAGAAGGAGCATCAGGTGAGGAATGGCCACAGTCATGAAGAAGCCAGTAAAATACTTTTCCTTCTTCTGCAGGTCATTCCTACTGTTTATGTTGCTCTCAAGTGCTTACAGCCCTAAGCCAAGCATTTCCCCAACAATTCAGTGACTGTGCCTGGTAGGAGTTACTGAAATAGAGAAAGAAATTATAATTTCTTTGCCTTAACAAGACTGGGGGGGGGGGAAGTACCTCTGAAAGGAAAGAGGGACCTCTCTGTCTCCCTCCTTGTGCCCTCCCCTCTGAGATTCCCTGCTGAAAACTTATCTTCACTGTAACACAGCTGTCTCTCACCCCACAGCTCTTTTTGTTTCTGACACTGATACCTGCCCTTTGAGACAGGAAGAAACTCTTCCCACACTGCTTGGAGAGCTGCATGCTGAGACAAACATATCTGGAGGCACCAACAACTCAGGAAACTGGTTTTATGGTTACAGCAGAGGCCTGGGATTAAAGGCAACCACTTAGTCCCCACATTGCCACTAAGCAATTGTGCTCTGAAAAAAATGTACCTCTGTCCTTTGCTCCAGTCCCCTTTCTGTACCACTGGGGACTGTGGATGGACAAGTTACTGCTGTGAAGCACGTCAGTGCAATTACAAGGCACTAGACATGGTGTATAATACAATACCTGCCAATGCCCCAGACCTTCTCAGTGTCCTTTCCTTTGCTGCTCACCTAGACGTGCTCTTGTCCTGGGTCCTTGCATCTGACTCCGGAGCTCGGGCCGAAGATGAAATTTCTTTGCTTCATCTACGAGGTCTCTGCACTGCAGACTGCATCGTATAAAAGGCTGAGGGAAAACATGAGTCACTGGTACATGCAATGTATTTTAAGATCCCTTATAAGTACTGTCCTAAAGCCAACTCCCATTGGTTCAGACAGCATTAAAATGACTTGTGTGCAGGCTGTGGCTAGTAGTGTCATGGTGGAAATACTGCACACAAGGAAATGCAAAGACAACTTAAGACTGGACTGCATCTGAAAAGATATGGCTCAGCTCTCACACCAAGTCTGGCACTGCAGGTTCCGTAATGAAAATAACTATATTGGAAAACTAAGGAAAAGCCACTTCTGCTATATTTAAGCCAGCAGAGGTATGTCTGAGAAGGGGGACTGGCAGTGAAACTACACTTGAAATCAGTTTGGCTGGATCTGCCCCACGTAATCAACTCTCAGCATGCACCTGCCATCAAAGAAGAAACAAGGAGCACAGCACAACGAAGCAGTTTTGTCAGATCTGTCAGCTTGATCCCTGTGCACATGGGACATGGAGCTATGAAAAGACTACACAAGTAGCAAGGTCTTCTTTAAAAGAAGCGGGGGACACTGCAGCCCAAGGACAGTCTCATCTCCTCCTTGCATAATGCCGTGTAATTACCCTCACTGGCTGAGGCCCTGAGCCAACCCCTGCGAATGCTCAGTGTTCAGTTCCCTTTGGGTGTTTGGTGCTATATGCTGCTGCAATAAGTTAAGATTTATTTTTACAAGTTCTTGGTGCTTGCACAAGAAGACCAGGGTGTTCAGAGCAGATGATGCCACACAGGGCCAACACTCTACTCTCCATGCTGTCCCAAGATAACGACATCCCACCAGAGTGTGTCACCTCCAGTCTGGAGAGGCCACCCTGTGCAGTAAGAAAGCTGAGGCCCTGTATACACACTATCTTAGGCTGGTTTTGGAACAGATCTAATTATTTTGGTACCAGTCCCTTTCATGTTAGCTTCAATTTCAATTTAAAGCGGACTATAACAATCTGACTAAACACATTTTAGCTCTGGCACAACTTAACTGTCTGTTAGCTGCCCTTATTTAAGAACATCCATTAAAGGCAGCTATATCACATTAGAGATGAATGTTGCTAAATCAGCCATTTCTCTATGGAGAGAAGTCTGTCATTCAACATTCAGCACCTGTCAGGTGACAAGGGCTAGTCACTACTCATTACCTTACATCGCCATCAAACCAGAATTCTGGTTTGAACTTCTCTGTGCCTTCCTGTCAAACCTTGCATGGGGTCAGCATCACTTCTTGTTTGGAACTGAAGTTCTATTGCAAAAGCTTAATTATCTCTTATCATCGTCCACATTTTGGTTTGCCTCTGCAATACCCCAGCCACACAAAGCAGCAGCATTAGATATGGCTCCAACTTGTGTGTTCACCCTGGACCTACACAGCTGCTGTCCTTCTCACTCAAAAGGTACCTGCTTGCCATCTGCACCTGAAACAATTTCTGAGGAGCCATTTCCTCCCTAGGATCGCATGCCAGCAGCCTTCAGCCTAAAGAGAGACCTGCTAGCACTTATGAATGAAAGGTACTTGTTAGAAAACTGTAACAGATGACATCAGAATGGTGCTACATATATCAGGAGACAACTGACTAATTGCTCTGGATGGGGTGCCCTTCCAGCTGAAAAGTAGGATGCTGTAACTGCTGGCACAGCAAACTGCTTCTGAGTAAAACAGTGGGCACTCCAGCTCAACGGGGACAACTCCGTAGTGTCAGCATCAAAAAGCATCAGCAGAGAAAGCAGCTTTTCACATGTTCTGTTAGGACAGCAGGAGCCTAACCAGAGAACATGGCATCACACACAGATACTGGCTCCCAGCTGTTCTGTGTCCATGGCCCCGGGCTGCTGATACCTCGGTGTCAATGACGTCGGTGATGTAGCGGGGGGTGAGAAGCGGCATGCGCACGTACTGCAGCAGTTCTGGCAGTGATGCTTCCCGTTCTTTTTTTGAGTGCTTCACCCAGTTTATAACTGCCTCAAACACGGGCTCTTCAGAGTCCACCTGGAAAGAGGAGACACACACTGATCAGACTGCAGGATAACATTTCAGCAGTCGCTGTGGAACAGGCAACTTCCAGGCTGTTGACACTACTTCACAGCTAGCGAGAGAGCAGGACATTTCAAGCAAGAGTTTGTTATGGAAATTCCCATGAGCTGTATTTACAAGCACTAAGAAATGCCCTCATTTTCTTTTTCTTAAAACTGCATTTGTTTTTTCCTTACAGCTGAGATCAACAATTGGCAGTATGAGCACCAGAAAAGTAAGCTTTATGGTACACAGCAGAGCCAGAAGCTGGGAGCCACCACTTTTGAGAGAGCCCGGAGACAGGCTGTAACTCGCAGGGCAGCTCCCCTGACTTCTCAGCGGAGCAGGAGTTACAGTCCTGCAAAATGCAAAGTACCACCATAAAGATGATCAGAATCATGTTTCCTTTTTACAGAGCAGTGACTCACTTAACCTCCTGCAGCCCTGTGCCCACGTACTGTCCCTTTAACACGCGAGTCATACCAGGTACGTTTAAGGGGTTTTTTATTTCAATCCGTATTTAAGAAACTATAAACAACTGGATTTCAGAGCGGAGAACCCCAGGGCATGAACGTTCTGACTAGTTTATTTCTCTCTCTATGGAGGACCAGCACATGCTTGTGCTTACACCACTTCCAGAGATTATACTGACTAAACCGTCTAAATTTGATACTTTTAGAGAACCTCACGTACTTTGGACATCTATGACTACCAAAAGCAAAATAATTGTAGAAAGCCCTATAATGTATTATTTAGGCTTGGTTTTCTTTTTGTATGTGTTCAGATCATCCAACGTAAAAGCAAATCAGACATGAATTTATTGTCATGAGATCTGTTAACTGCTATTAAATATGAAGATAAAAGGAGATACTATAATAAGAGGATTGAGCCTTCCCACCAATATATGACCGGTACACTTTGAAGTTCAGTTTGAAGCTGTCTATTGCAGAATGTTCTGAAGCAGGGAGCCACAGAGGTTAATTATGTGAGGTAATTCTTCCAAGCCATTGATTTATATTTGTTACAGTGTAATTTGAAATGGCCTCTTTCTATGTGAATTACAGGGAAAGGACAATTAGAGCTCACAAAAGGAGAGCAGAGTACTTTATTGTCTCCAATTTTCCCCACCTCTTCCTCAAATGCAATAATCCCACATAATTTTATCCCCTCCTGAACTGAGTGTCCTCTGACATATTTAACAGTTTTGTTGTTCGTGAAATCACTTCTGTTTTCTGATAAACGATGAGTAACGCTAAACACAGCACCACAGTGAGAACCTGCCGTTATACTTCTCCAACAGCCAGGGGATTTTCCAAGGGTGCTCCCTCAGTACCCTCTGATACAGCACATCACGTCTGCACTGGCACAGCAACAGCTGGATTTGCTTCATTCCACCTTCTTAAGGTATTACAACGAATGCACACCCCACTGTGTGTCTGCAAGGCCTGAATCAGCCCTCCCAATCCACAATGAATTTTACTTCGCCTGTGTGGATCATCTGATTAGTTTGGCTGGGTCGTTCTCAAGTTCCTCATTATTTCCTCTTCACTGTCCAGAAGAGTTATGTCAGTACTTGCCACAACCCGCATAAGATCAAACCCTCACAGCATTAAAGCTGCAGCTTGTTAAACACTAAACCAGCTCAGCCTTTCTCCACTGCTGATCTCAGCCTGTGCCAGGGTCTTTCACTGCTGTCTTGCATGCTCTTTGTCAAGCAGACTTATTAACAAGAGGAGGTCAGCTTGGCTGAAGGCCACTTTCATGGCAGACTTTCAAGGCATACATCAAGAATTCTCCTCTGGCTACCCCTATATTGGCTTTTCAGGAATTCCACCACAGATATCACTTACATTAGTTTGCTTCTAAGAGTTCATGTTACTGTGAACTCTGAATAGTGATTGCTTCAATCACTTCTTTTAGAACAGAAGCAAACATCAACTCTCAATGAAGTCCATCTCAATAAAAAAAAACACGTCTCCCCCCATTATCAAGGAATATTCAACTTATTTCAGTTCTCAAGAACATACATATTCATAGAAAATTTGGAAAAAAGTATTTGACAGGTTGCAGCCAAATAGTAAATCCTCCAGAAAGCAACCTTAAGGGAACAAAATCTGCATATAACTCCCTGAAAAGTCAGACTAGCCTGCACCATCATGCATTCTGCTGCTTGTAGAAGTAGAGGACACCCAAATGGCTGGGATGACACATGCATTCTTGTGCTGCTGAGTAGCATGCGAAGGTCTACAAATAGAAATTAAAGTCTCGGGGGTATTTCTGAAACGTAGGCATTGAGACAACTTGTCTTTGTAACCTCTCCTGTAACCTCCAGGGAAAGGAGGAGACAAGAGAACAAGAACTCTGCAGAGGTAACTAACTGTGATTGCCTTTCTTGCAAGAAACACTTGTGTGACAACAAATTCTTACATAGAAGCTACACGTTACTGATCAATTTCAGATTATGTGGCTAGAAAATTAGAAGAAGCTTCTTGAAAATTAAACTCCAAATTCAGGAACTATGTGAGAAGTCCACCCTAGGACTATGGACTAACTTCTGACTGGTTTCAACGTTTTACTTCAATGCTTTGCACATTAATGGTACTTTTCAGGTTTTACCTGAATTTCATCACACTTGATGAGCTTTTCAACCTCTTCTTGATTTAAGAGGATAAACTCTTCATGCTGAACCACCTCTGGAAAATGTTTCTGGCTGAAGACCTCTGCAGCTTGCATTAGATCAACACAATTGTGTGTCTCAGCAAAATCCCGAATGCCCAAACAATTTGATGGATCCAGCTGGCTTTCTAGAAACTCACAGCAAGCTTGTTTCACACCTATGGAAAATTGGAGGGGTGAATGAGCACTGCATGCTTACTATGAATCCACTGCTTTGGAAAGGGCTTCAGAAAAGAAAGTTCTAAAGAGTAATGAAAATCCAACTCAAATAACAAGCTTAAAAATACTACAGAAACACACACATGCAAATATTTCTTTGGAGGGATGTGAAAACACTAAGCAGTAGGCCATGTGTTTGGGCTGGTTTGATCTCTGGCTATTCTATTTAATGCAAAAATAAATCTGGTAAGACTCAAATATGATTTGTACTCAGCTTGATGGATTATAAACAAAAAACATATATGGTAGTGGATATGGCTACCAGATTTCTAGGTTTTTTCCAATGTCTTTTTGATAGTTGCCTGGGATTTGGGATAATTGCCTGTGATAGCTCCATAGGTGCACATGCAATGACATCAACATTTGTTATGACCCAGACATACTATGATGGCAGGTCAAATGACATCACGGATTTGCTTAGTATTATAAGTTGAGCTATAACATTTATGTGCTATACAGCCCACAATTCCTCCTGGGAATTCTCACGCAGAAATACAGTAGCCCAAAGCATGGAACAATAACCTGGTTTATCATCTTTTTTTCAACCCAAGGCAGTTCCTCTACCAATGACACCACAGCGCACAAGACAACAGAGGAAGTTTGACATAAGTACTTATAAATATCATGCCTCCCACAATCTGTCTTCCATTTGCAGAAGGTCAGACAAACCAAATCTCTGAACAGCAGTTTGTGCTGATACTCAGCAATTACCTTTCAGCTGAAGCAGACATGCCGCTGGGAGCAATTCTTGGACGTTTTCTACTGTCACATGAACAGTTTCTGTATATACAAAGTCTAGCAGGATTTCCATGGTGGAGGCTGTCAGTCCCTGGATATCTACATAGGGTTTATCTTTCTCTGAGAGCTGTAAATTAGAAGGGAGACAAAGGTTTATTTTTCAGTAATGTGATCAAAAAGCCAACAACGCTCAGCAGTTTTTTAAAATGTGATCTGTCAGAGAGGTTTCAACAGAGATTTGTCCTTTCTCTTCTTGTGCTCACTGAAAGAATAAGTGGAAGTAGGGAGTTTACCTACAGCATTCACTT